GGTCACAAGCTTTATCTATATTTAAAATGATTAAAAACTGTAATTTGTTTATGTTGTAATCTCTTCAGCTTTCCTCCTCTACACTAAACTTGGAATCACACTACTACTACGCTTTAATCTCCGGTTATTGCCAATCCGGTTCCTAGTCGATGAAGACCGGTCGACCCAGTTCTTGTCTTCTTCAACCGCGCGGTTCCATCGTTCTTTAAAAGTTTGAAGCTCCCATGTTGATTGCCTCCGTATCTAATCACAAAACACACACAAGTTATGCTCCTGCTCGAGAGACAAAAACCATTCCGTAGCGCGCAGATTCATCGTCGGATAATAGTAACTCACCTCTGTTCTTGAATCAAAAGTCGCAGAACCGCGTCTCTGTATATAAAGAAAAGTGACCAAAGTTGTGAAAATTCTCTTTTTTTTTCATAGTCAAGAAACGAGAATTTGTATGGTAAAATAGCTTACCCTAGAGACTCCGCTGCGAGCCGAGTTCTGTAGAAATTAGGAAAAGATCATTTTTATATTGGGTTTTGGTACATACAAGGAGAATGTGTGGGAAGTAGAGGATCTTACCTTCTTCTCGGGATAACCGCTTCCACCTAGAGTTTGAATGCCTTGATGGAAGATATATTCTCTGTCGACAATTCCTACTTTCTTGCTACGGTCACCCTATAACACATTTAAAGCCGATTCATTTGGAGAATGCAATCGGGTCACGATGCTAATGGAAGCAAATGATGTTGTGAGGTCTTACAGAATAAAAAAAAAAGACTTTACCTGTGCACAGTACCCAAGTTTCATATCCATTCCCCACCCATGAACCAGATCATTCTGCAAACCACCAAAAAAATCAACAAGAAGTTGGATGCAATTTCATTAGACGTAGGTTTAAGGCGTGACAAACGGTATAGCTAATTAGAAGTTGAAGGAAATTTATCTTCCTTAACATTACTTGTATAAGATTCCAAGTGCAAAACCAGGCAGATCTTGAAAACACTGGAGCCATTCCTTCAACGAATCTGGAAAAAAACAGGAAAAATAGACAAACAATGTTATTAATGTACCAGAAGCTGGGAGTAATGGTATAGAAATAAGGGACTAAAACTCCGTCTTTTGATATATAGAGAAGTCTTGAATCGTTATGTTAGTAGAAAATTTTTACCCGGTGCATGGAGGCCCTTCGCTAGCATTTGAGCACTTCATATTGCCTCTACTGTCGTAAACTCGTCTGCGGTTATGTAACCATTTGGTGTAAGTAATAAAAGACAAATTATCAAGAGAACTCCTTAACGAAGATGTTCACAGAATTCACCTATGGAATAATTTTGTTCTAGACCGGACTGTAATTCGATGGTGAACTTCAGTTGAGTTTGGGTGCAAAGCCGGTTGAGATATCTCCAGTCCGGCTGATTTAACTATCCTCAGGTATCTGCAGAGACACTGTTTAGCAAAGGCACTCCAAGATTTTACCTTTACCGGTTGTAAATGTACAAGTGAAGGGGTAAATATTAGTTTACCTTTGCGGGTTGAAATTCTCCACTCCAAGATCTTCGTCCCAAAGAAAAACATAATCGTAAATGGAGACAATATCAGGATGGAGAAATCGTTTTGCAAACCACCTGAGTAAAATGGAACCTTTGTTACCAAACTATACAAACCATGACTATAGTCATCATAATAGATTTTTATCTCGAAAACATCATTATACCATTTCGTCTGGTTATGTGCAACTATGTGTATGGCTTTTGAGCTCCACTCCAGATCCCACCATTGATCCATGTTTCCGTCATAATGAAATAGAATAACAGTGAAATTCGCTGGAAGAAACTGAATACAACAAACACAGTAGCATTAGGAAGAGAGTTTTTTCTCGAGGATCGATGATCTCACTAATTCACTGACACAGACAAACCACTCTTACCTTCTGTACAATAGCATCTACATTATCCTTTTGCTTAAGTCCTACCGGCATTGCCAACAAGTTACGGTTGGTCAATTCGCCTCCCTGTTTTAAGACAACAACAATGATCAGAAATTCTTTTAGCAACGAATATATTTGATTCCTCTAGCTAACTGAAACGTACAGAAATAGCTAACCTTTGACCTCGAACTACTACTTGACCAAAGTGGCTTTAACTCCAAATCTGATCTAGGCTGTATGATACCAAACGGTAAGCCTTTCAACTTTCCACTGACCGGTTCAGATTCCTGAACAAGATCGCATCGGAATTAGAAACTCAAACATCAACTTAAGACCGGCGTTGCATCAACATTAGAAACAACGAATGTTACCTTTGCCATCTCAAATGGATAATCTGTTTCTTCTATCTGAGTAAGGCGTGTATAAAAACAAAAGAGAGTCGCTTAACAAATAATCTTATCGTCATATCGAAAGAGAAAAAAACTCCGTTCGATTGTAATCTTGCTCGTAAGAAACCAAAAAGATCTCTTCCACCATACCTCTGTCTGTTCATACTGAATATTTGTGGTCTTATACCAAAAGATCAAAAGCACTGTACACATGAGCGCCACAATCGGTTTCATTTTCCACGACGATTTACCCTGCAATATTTCCAGCATTCCCACATCAAAAAAAAAGTCTAAAACAACATATAATGAACCTGAGATCACCGAGCACCAAAAAACCAAGATCTACAAAGAAAAAAGAAGAAGCCTTTACCCCTTCTTGAGCATTGTTTCTTCTCTTAACAAGTGATTTCCATGATTTAAAAGACGGTAACTCATGTTCCATAATCTATTCACCGAGCTACAAAAATAGCACACACAAATCAAAACTCATCAATTTCCATACAAAAACAAAAACATTTTCCAAAGTTTAAGCAATTAGAAAGCAACTCACCAGAGCCACCGTTCTTGTGTCCCCTTCACAATCACAAGGAGAAAATCAAAAGCTCTCTCTCCACAAGAACAGAGAACAAATAAACCAAATTCAGACACCAAATCTCAGTTGATCTAGGCACATGCAAGTCGATATCTTTCTGAAAATCTACACAAGAACCCACATTACAACGTGAACGAACAATAAAAATCAGAGGCTCCAGATTACCTTACAAGCTTATTTACACAGAAAAAAAAAAGCAAATAAAAATCGAAACTTTTTAGCATGTGAACCAATAATCTATTAGAGAAATCTTTCCTCAAAAAGCATCAATGGGAGATATTTTAATGAGATTATGAGTAGATAACAGCTAAAGAAACAAACAGAGATTGCCATTTTCAGAGTTTACTCACTCTCCCAGAAACCGACGAACAATCTGGGCCACTGGCGAAAACGAAACGGCTAAGGAATCGAATACAAACAAAGAGAATTATTATAAATTTTTCTAGGATTTTTTTTTTTCGTTTTCCAGATCTAAAGGAAGTAAATAAAACTGATGATATGGGATATAAAATTAAACATTGCTTTGATTACACATTAATTAGCAATTAATAAACAGCAAAAATTAGTCATCAAAGCTTTATTTAGGAAGAAATCTGGTATATGTTGAGGTCAAGAAAAAATGAAAAAAAAAATTAATGGCGGTGTGCAATTAATTTCTTTCAAAGATGAGATCTTTAAATTACAGGAACAAAAGAAAAAAAAACAGAGAATTTAGACAGAACCTTAAGAGAAATCTGAAGCTTGAAGATTACAAACCCAGTTGGTAATGGCACCAAGAAAGAGTGTCTTCACTTATAAACTGAGATTTTACCAGAACTAATTTCTTTAATCGATTCGAAACCAAACCCAACAACGAATTTGTAAGCGGAATCGAAAAAGATAAAAGAGAAAAAGATTTGGTGGAGTGACTCGTGTCATCTGCTAAAATTCTCTTTCTGTCGATGT